GGGGGGGTCCTGAAAGCTGCTATTAAAGCCAAATGGAGTGAAGACCGTAAACCGGCTCTGCCAACAGCTGTCCCACCATTATATATGCTAGGACACACGCGCGCGCGCACGCATATGAGCCCTGTTGCTGATGCAGCGCTTTTCTTGGAAGTAGAAAAGAAAACGAGGACATCCTGATTAATTTAAAGTTTATTTGGACTTTGAGCTTCTCGACGTCTTTAAAATACTGTTTATTGATTGAAGTGGTGGCGCAGTGGAGTTTGTCTCGCGTGGGCTGTGCTGTTGATGGAACGGCTGGTTTGCTCCGCGCATCATCATCATCACCATCATCATCATCATCATCATCGTCATCACGCATTAAAGTTCCCAGAGGGCCTTTTATTTGTGGTGAAAGGTGAAAGCAGGATATTCTTTTCACAAGATCCACTTTTCTTGGGGATTATTAGGGCGATTTTGTTTCGTGTGTGTGTGCGCGCGCGTTATTTTAAGCGGACACGCGCACTTTATGGCGCGGCCCAAGTCATTTACGCACAAGTGTGGGGCACCTCACACCCCAACTTCTTCAAGCACCTGCGCTCCAAGGCTTTGAAAAATGAAACCCAGTTCTCCTAAACTTGATGACCCCCCCCCCCCCCCCCACACACACACAAGTGGTGTTTCAGGTCTGACTGGAACAGAGGAGAGAGAGAGACGACTTGAAGAGGAGTTGTTTCCACTGGATTAAATGGTTTCTCTCCAAGTCAATGAATATGTAATGACGTCTACAGAACACTGAGTCCGGTATTAAGCATCTCTTCTGCAGAGGAGAAACAGAGTGGATCAGGTGGGGGTGATGGGGGTGCTGAATAATAATAATAAGGGATATAATCTTGGATGCAACTCTAAACTTCACTACAATATTTTCCAAGTTAAAGAACTTGAGATGGAGAGAATAAAGTGTGAAGTTCTCTCTCTTGAAGATGCGCGGTCCGTGTGTGTGTGTGTGTGGGGGGGGGGGCTTGTTGCCTTAGAAATATATTTTTTCTCTGATGAGCAGTCATGCCAATAATGTAATTGAATTGATAAAAAAGGAGGTGAGAGAGGAAAAGAGAGAGAGGGAGTGAAAGAAAGAAAGAAAGTCCCACTTCTGTGATTGTTGGATTTTTTTTTTTTTCTTGCTCTAAAACATAAAACATTGATTGTTGCAGTTTGATGACCCGTAAAATTCGGGGGTTAGTTTTCTCCTCTGAGCTGAGCATATAATTATGCAAATAGTGATCTGACAGTGATCCGCTGGACTGCTGAAGGAGTGTGTGTGTGTGTGTCAGAAGGGGTGGCATTCCAGCTTTGTTTAATGCTTTGGAGAGAGTTCATCTTCTGCAGGGACGGTGTGCACATCTGAGTGGGCATGCAGGAGCAAGCAAGCGTGACAACTTTGTTGAAGGAAAAATTGAAATATCAGTTTGTGGCAGGAGCCCCCCCCCCCACTCTCTTCTTTTTCTCTTTAAAATGTCATGGTCTGCACCTTGTAATCCCTCCCCAGCGCTGACACAGCACAGACCCTCTTGTTTATTTGAAAGCATCACGTTCAGATGGACTTTGGATTTGTTAAACTGAAATGTTCAACTTTAGATCAGATTTATTTGGTTGGATCTCACAGCATCAGAGTCCTGTCAAACAAGGCCTCACATTCAAGTCTGTTTTCTTTGCGCTGCAGAGGGTGGGTGGTACTTTACACTTGTTCTTCACAGCCTACAACATTACCATGAAATGTGTAAAACAGACACACCTGACAGACTGAAAATTGCTCCACGCTTGAAAATGTAACGTTTCCCCGCTGCCTCCACCGTTTAGCATCCGCCTCTGATGAGAGCTGACTGGAGGTCAGAATTTATGATGCCACCGTATCATCGCTGTGGACAGACGCCAGGTTGTTTAATTAAAAACAGGGAGGGAGGGAGAGAAGAAAAAAAAAAATAACTTGAGAATTGAGCCCACAGAAGTTTGGAGAACATTTTAAGCAGGGAGGGGTGGTGGGTCTCGCCTGAGTGATTCTCTTTAATCTGCGGCCTGATGCGGCACAATCCCCCCCACTCCTCTGGTTCCACTTGCTGTTGTTCGGACGGGTTAATGGAAAAGATTTCTAAAGATATATTGAGGGGGCGTTTAATGACCTGATCGGTTTCACCGTGTGAAAACAAATATGCCGTAAAACCTTAAAGCTGACTAATAAGCTGTTTGAGAGGAGGAAAACGAATAAGAGTTAAAGTTACAGATGCAAGTTTTAGAAGCTTCCACACTTCTTCTTAATTTAAATCCACGACGTAGAAAAGCTGACAAAAGATGGTTGGGTTGTTGCGGAGAGACAACGATACGGCTCGTTTTACAGGCGGCGGCTCCACCGTCTCATCTCACTTCACACTTTCCGGTCACTTCTTCTCCACTTCTCTGCTACACCTGTCTCTTATTCGTCTCTAACCTCCCCTCCTGTGCAGACAACCGTGCAAAACAGTCAGCTGAGAAATACATCAGTAACTAAAAAGAAAAGATGCAAAATAGAGACGCAGAGTTTCTTTATTACCTTTAATGGGTTAATAAGAAAAAGATGCAGTCAAAAGGAAAGTAATTTGCTGCGGAGTTGTTCTAATCATTTTTGAAGGTGGTTTCAAATTGAAACAAGGAACGAGAGGAAAAATATTAGGCAAGCTACTTTTAAGAGTTTTGGAAAAACACAAAAGCTTCAACTTTAATAAAACAAGCAATCAATACAACTTTGTGACATTGGTTTCTTAAATGTCTAACAAACTAAATATATTTAAAAAAAAAACTTTTCACGTGAAATTAAAGAAACTAATATACACAGACTGTGCTTTGGATTTTGAGTTCTGTTCACATATGGCTTGCTGGATATTTAAAAAAATAAACAGTGAGGAGGCTTTTGTTTATTCCTAAGGCAACAATATACAGAAACCAGAATAAGGAAAAAAAAAAACCTGATTGTAGCTGTAAAGGACAGAAGAGGAGAAGCCATAGCTTAAATACAAAACTCATCAAATTTCAAGTAATAAGCCAACTTCTTTGCTGAAACCTGGAGAGATCAAAATCAAATTAAAAGCAAATTAGACCTGCAATCATCAGCCGCTTTAGTCTCATTACAGCAGAAAGATAATCCACAAATGCCTTAAACCAAAGACACAGAGCAGAAGAAGAAGCAGGCTTTCACAAAGTGCAAGTTTTACAATGCTGGGAAGAAAAAGAAGTATTTGAAAATGTGTTAAGGTATCATAAGATTCACTTTCCAGTTTGAGTTTTTACTAATGTCAGGACACGTTAGAACTGTATTCCATTAAGCCTTGAGCGGTTTATAAAAGAGACCAGAAAAGAAAAAATCATCATGTTTGTGTCAGAGTCAGATTATGTGAGCTGAGCAGGAAGCTGACTTTGACACTTTTAAGTACACAAAAGAGTACTTTGGAGAAAAAGAGAAATAAAAGAAGATATATTACAATTCCTCAACATCTAAAGAAATATCATTCTGGCTTAGAATATTATTGAAATCCCAGATCTCCTGACATGAGTAAGGCGATATATTGGGGTTTTATGAGTGTTGTGGAATGACTTTTGGCTCCCGTTAAAATGAGATATCCCTCAAACCTATTTTGATGCTTAAAGTGATTTTTCAAATATTCTCAGTCTCCTGAATTTCCAACATTCAGAGCAGGTTGTTTTATTTGTTTTTATCACATCCAATCAACCACCGACATCAATTTGAGGCACATCACACTGAAAAACAAATTAAACATTTTTTATTTATTTATAACTTTTGCAAACTTTTTAAAACAAACCCATATGAAACCAAAAGCAAACGCCCACCTGCTTTGTGAGGTATTGACTTATTAAAAAGGAGAACGTGGAGGGATCTGCTTTAAAATTTTTATTCAAAGCTGAAGGGGAAAAGAATAGGAGCAGCGATTCGAAAAATAAAATTGGGACGGAGTCAAAATTGCGAGGACTGAGAAAAATCAGGTTTAAAAGCTGAATGTGGTGATGGACCATAAAACAGTAAAAAGTTCTTTTGTTTAAAAAGTAAATATACTGGTTGTTGGGGAAAAAAAAACTGCATTAGCCAGACTGAATTGATTTTAGCAGGATAAATCATGAGCTAATGTCAGCAATGTAAGTTTCAGGAGAAGTACGAGGGGCAGCGTGGGGGGAGACACTGAGCAGTAGGCTGTAGGGCAGGCAGGGCATTAGCTCACTTCAGGCTGATGTCAGGACAATTAGAGGTGCACCACAGTGCATTGTGCACAGTGCTGTCAGCCTTAATCTCTGCTGCTGTGCCTTGTACCCACAGCCAGGCCACAGCCCACGGGAAGCGCTAACACTCCGCTTCATATTGCCTTGACAGTTGCACTCAACTAAAAGTAATGCAAAACGGTATTGCGATGTACACACGGCGACCCTCTCGTCTTTAACAACACAGCGGCGGCGTGAGTGCAGAGCTGGAGAACGCTCAAGGGGAGAACTGACACCGAGGGAAATGAGGCAGGAAGGAAAACTGGTGGGACATTACAAAGAAAGAGGGAGAAAGAAAGAAAATAAAGTAGAGAGGACACGTCCTGCACTCCCACTTCTAATCCCGCCTCTCAAAAAAAAAAAAAAATCTTCTGCTCGTTGTCAGGGCTGACGGCTTCTCTACAAATCTTGGTGTTTGTTTCTGAAGGAGCTGCTGCGTGTGGTGACAGTTTTGGCATTCTCCTCCGCCTCCTCTTCTTCTTTTGCCTTCAGGGCCTCAGTGAAGAACCTGAAGATGGATTCAAAACTCATCCAGGAAGTCAGCTCGTGCCTCTCTGTGCCTGCAGATGAAGACATACAAACACATAGATATTTACTTACTGTAACACTATAGCCAAACAAAAGCATGCGGGATATTCTAACAATTAGACATCTGGTGCTGCAAACCATACACCTACTCTGGAAGCAGGAACAACAAAAAATAATCAGATGTCAGCTCTCGTAAAGCCTAGAACTCTGAGTGAACTGCTTTACTCCATGCAAACTGAAGGCCTTATTCGTGAGAGCCATGGCAGCCTCTGACCCATTAGTCCAGTGGGACGGCTTGAATATGCTATCCAAGCAGATACCCGATAATCAACACCCTTGCACGTTCAAGGAGATGGAAAAAGGTCGTTCCAACAAAACCAGAGATATGCACAATGGGCTCCTTAAGTGAAACCAGTGGAGCGGTAGTCATTCATTCAAAAAGAGCAACCAAGGAAAGGCAAGACAGAAGCAGGAGAGACGCAGCTAGCCAACATATCAGGTGGTCCGGCTGTTGTAGAGGTGGGGGGGAGGCAACAGTGCTGGGTTTCCTTCTGGCCTTCTTCAGGTTAGCAAGTTCCCAAGTTGGGGTCACACTGAAATTTGAAATCTGGTACATGGGCCTCAGGTTTCGTAGGATTAGGGTATCATAGACCAGATATTTAGTTAGATAGCTTGTAAACTCAGTGGCACCTCATCCTACCCCACAGCAAGTTGGCTCTTCATTGAAGTGTCTATGATGAGAACAGACTGTGCTTTTAGTTTGCCTCAGTAATTAGACAGTGCATACATACAGTAGTCTGTCGCTACTTCGTGGTTAGTTTTTCGTGGACTCACTCTATTGTGGTTTTTCAAAATGAGATTGGACATGACACACAATTGGCTGATGGATGAGCCGCATGATTGACACGGAATTTTTATTTAAAATAAATTATTTGAAATGATTTAGCACGGCAGCACGGTGGTGCAACTGGTAGAGCTGATGCCTCCCAGTGAGCAGGTTACCCTGGTTCAAATCCCAGTCCGGGGCCCTTTCTGGGTGGAATTTGCATGTTCTCTCTGTCCATGCATGGGTTTTCTCTGGGTACTCGGGTTTCCTCCCACAGACCAAAAACATGAATGTTAGGCTGATTGGTAACTCTAAATTGTGAGTGAGAGTGAATGATTGTTTGTCTCTATGTGTCCCTGTGATGGACTTGCGACCTGTCCAGGGTGTACCCCACCTCTCACACAGTGACGGCAGGACATGGGCACCAGTGATCCCTACGACCCAAAAAAGGAAGAAGCAGGTAATGATGATGGATGGATGATTTAGCACCTGCTGCAGGACAAACTTCAGCTGTTTTCCGTGCAGAGCGGAAAAGTGGGCGTGGCCAAGAATGCTTGCAGGTGGCTGAGAGCAGTGGAGGCAGAGAGCTGAAATCATGATATGCTGTGCTCTTTTAGAGCGTTTAGAGTTTAGGGACATTGTTTAGAATATTGCAAGAGTGTGGGAAGGGTGTGGGTGTTTCACCTTTTCCACCCACATTCTGATGTCAGTCTGGGGAGTTGAACCTGTGACTTTCCGATCACAGGCCTGTCTTCTCTAACCTCTGCGCCACCACTCCCCATAATGTTTGCGTTGAGATGTTTGTGTTCTCTTTTGAATAATTATTTTCACTTTTTAAAACTCTTAAGCTTTAAAATGTGTGTGTTTGAATGATAAAATCTGGTAAATTATAAAACAGAATAGTACTATCTGAAGTAACAGGGTAAGATGATAGTAAAAGATAGGAATTAATCAAATTATTAGGATAAATAGACCTATTTTTTGTTCTTCCATTCTTCCAGCAGTACACAGTACACACTGCATCTGCTACAAAAAGCTAAACTAAAAGGCTGCGAGGATACAATTAAAAAGCACCTTAAAGGTTCGCTCACTGTAGACAGGCCTCAGATGACCGTTGTGCTGACCTCCTGTTTATTAGATTGAACCCTGCTCGGACGCATTAATGGAGAAGGTATGTGGGCGTGTGTGTGTTATTGTAAGACCAGGGGCAGGTGTAAAGCTCTGGGCAGAGTGTGAATTTGGGTTCAGTTGATGCAGTTGTGTTTTGTGTTTGTGCAATTTGTGTGCACAAGTATCTGGGGGGGGTTCTTGGTCTTTCTGAGATATGAGACTGCACAGCAAGTCATACAGCAAGCAGATGGCAGTCAGTGCCGAGGGTCAAATTTACTGGCCCGACAATCATGGTAGTCAATAACCCAGCTTTCTCAGTGACTCTGCTACCTGTGTAGGGCTCATCGTAACATCCAACCCGGGAAACAAAGACACAGCCCTCTCGCACCTCTAATCTATCATTTATATCCAATTTGAGGCCATGTGATCTTTTTCTTTTTCTTGCACCTCTTTTATTTTTCTGCTCTTGCTGGTAACTCCCTCAACGTTTTACTCATTTTTCTCTCTCTCCAGCAGATCAATGCTGCAGTGCTCACTTGTTCACCCTGAACTAGTGCTGAACTCCCGCGGCAGCCTCTCCACCCTATCCTGACGCAGTCGAGGGTCACAACGAGGGTGTTTCTGTGCCAATATGCAGACAAGCTAGTGTCCCGCTGATGACTCCAATGTTAAGCTCCACCTCTCCCTGCAGGGTGGAGGCTTGGATACGAAGTCTTCTCCCTCTCACGCAGATGTAAATCTGCTCTCACATGAACTTAAACAGGCCTTACGTTCTCTCTTACGTTAATGGATGAAGTGTGCTCCTGCGAATGGATGTTACCAAAGCTAAGATAGGCACTGATTTAGAGGAAAACTAACGACAAGTCATCGAAGGGACGACAAGGAGACATCAGCCATGCTATAAATCAAAATGATGTCTTTGAAAGGTACATAGGTCAGTGAGGTATTATCTCACTGATCTCGTGTGTGAAAATGACCCATGAGAAGCACCAAAAGGACAATTTTGCTTCTCCTGAAATGTTTTTTTTTGCTGACAGCAGATTCTATTAAGGACAACTGAATGTTTTGTTAAAAATGATTTAATATGCAAAGCTGTTTTGAATGTCAGCAACAAACTTGTTGATCCACTATGTATAGGTGTATAAGACTGAGCTACAGCTCCTCAGACTGAAGAAGTCTTTCGGATGAAAGACGAAACGTTTTTTCCATTTTTTTTTTATAGAACCCGTCTAGAGGACCTGACTTAACTGTTTTGGATTTTTCTACTTGGATTATTGAGCATGCATCAGTGAGATGCACAGCTGTGCATCATTTCAACTACAGCATCATCAATAAATCATGTATTATGTGCATTTGTGTGTTTTTTTGCATTGATTATAAAATAAAAAAAAAGATTTATGCAATCATTTCAAAAGATTTAATCGAGTTGAATAAAAAAAGCAGCAATATAATGATAAGTGTGCTTGTATCGGGATTAGAGAAGGCGAGCATGTGAACAGAAGGTCGCCAGTTCAAATCCCCGGAACGGCAACATCAAAATGTGGGTGGGAAAGGTGAAGCACCCATACCTGCCTCCACCCTCATTTGCTCCACTCTGGGCCCTTGAGCAAGGCCCTTAACCCCCACCATCTGCTCCCCCGGGTGCCCTAGATAGCAGCTCTCTGCTCCACACAGAGGGCTGTGGTAGCTCGGTGGTCTGTGGTTGAGTCAGGAAGGGCATCCAGAGTTAAAACAATTGATAAGTCTTCGTGGGAGTTAGTTCGCTGTGATGACCCCCTGAAGAAGGGAGCAGCTGAAAAAATTAAATAAATCTGTGCTTGTGTCAGTACGGAGTAGATAGAGTAAATGGAGACAACAGATTTTAGTATTAATGACCATTTCTGATAGTTGACAAGTGAGGCAGCACATATACAGGTCCTTCTCAAAAAATTAGCATATTGTGATAAAGGTCATTATTTTCCATAATGTAATGATAAAAATGAAACTTTCATATATTTCAGATTCATTGCACACCAACTGAAATATTTCAGGTCTTTAATTGATTTAATACTGATGATTATGGCATACAGCTCATGAAAACCCAAAATGCCTGTCTCAAAAAATTAGCATATCATGAAAAGGTTCTCTAAACAAGCTATTAACCTAACCATCTGAATCAACGACGTGACTCTAAACACCTGCAAAAGATTCCTGAGGCTTTTAAAAACTCCCAGCCTCGTTCATTACTCAAAACTGCAATCATGGGTAAGACTGCCGACCTGACTGCTGTCCAGAAGACCATCATTAACACCCTCAAGCAAGAGGGTAAGACACAGAAAGAAATTGCTGAACGAACAGGCTGTTCCCAGAGTGCTGTATCAAGGCACCTCAGTGGGAAGTCTGTGGGGAGGGAAAAGTGTGGCAGAAAACGCTGCACAACGAGAAGAGGTGACCGGACCCTGAGGATGATTGTGGAGAAGGGCCGATTCCAGACCTTGGGGGACCTGCGGAAGCAGTGGACTGAGTCTGGAGTAGAAACATCCAGAGCCACCGTACACAGGCGTGTGCAGGAAATGGGCTACAGGTGCCGCATTCCCCAGGTCAAGACACTTTTGAACAAGAGACTGCATCAGAAGCATCTCGCCTGGGACTGCTGCTGAGTGGTCCAAAGTTATGTTCTCTGATTACAGTAAATTTTGCATTTCCTTTGGAAATCAAGGTCCCAGAGTCTGGAGGAACAGAGGAGACACAGAATTCACATTGCTTGAGGTCCAGTGTCAAGTTTCCACAGTCACTGGGGTGTCATGTCATCTGCCGGTGTTGGTCCACTGTGTTTTATCAAGGGCAGGGTCAATGCAGCTAGCTATCAGGAGATTTTGGAGCACTTCATGCTTCCATCTGCTGAAAAGCTTTATGGAGATGAAGATTTCATTTTTCAGCACGACCTGGCACCTGCTCACAGTGCCAAAACCACTGGTAAATGGTTTACTGACCATGGTATTACTGTGCTCAATTGGCCTGCCAACTCTCCTGACCTGAACCCCATAGAGAACCTGTGGGATATTGTGAAGAGAAAGTTGAGAGACACAAGACCCAACACTCTGGATGAGCTTAAGG